TATATATATATATACTTAGAGAGAGAGAGAGATATATATATATACATATACCTAGAGATATATAAAATAGATATTGTAATCATACAATGAGGAGTGATATGAAGTCATATCAATCGACTCTCAAATGACTTGTTTACTTAAAAAAACAAATAAACGGAGGATTGACCACTGTAATGTTTACAAGGTTAGTAAAACCGAAGAGCAGTGCATTTGCTTGCATGGAGTATAGGAATAGGAACGCCACTGACAACAACATTTAAAATGATCAATACGATGCAGAACTTGACGATTATTGTATTTTGAAGCACATTATTCTATAGTATGATAAAGTGAACAAACATCAAGAGTATTCACACTCGAGGAGCTGTTATTATCTGCCATTGTAATCAATCAAAATAGTTAGAGCATCTTCCCGTTTTTTTTGCAATAGTATAGAGGAATCCCGAAACTAGCCAGCTCCGCCCAGCTGGAGACTACATAGCAGCCTGGTTATTTACTGGTATGTACCCTGGGTCCCTGGAAGGCTGGCACTGACGCACTGTGGCATTGTCACTGTGTCCGAGCTGCACTCTGGCGACTGGCAGACGCCACTTAATCTCACCCCAGTCACCCCACTCGGGCCACTCTCCAGCAGAGTGTGGCATACTGGCATTTCAAAGCATCAAGGGCTCAAGCCTCAAGGCTTCAAAAGTCTCCAAGTCTCAAGTTTCAACTTTCAAGTGACTCAACTGACTTTTTGAAAAATATAAATAAAAAGTCTCAAGCCTGTGATGTCAGCCCTGTCAAGTGTCAGTCCACATTTTGGAAGGCTATGACACATACAAATAAATACTTCACACCAGATTCAACAGCAGTGACAAGTGACAACTGAATTTTTTTACTGAGATTCCGAGAATCGTGAATTTATTCTTTTAATTTTGTTTAAAAAAAAACGCCGGAGAGAAACAGCTGCACCGGCCCGCCTTGTGTTGACTGCAGCAGTGCAGCGTGATGCTGATCGGTTGCTATGTCAATTGAATCAGCAGGGATCACGTAATATTTCAATCTAAATATGGCAAGTATTTGCTCCGCAGCTCATGCTTTTAAAACGACTCCAGAATTTCCAAAAAAAAAGCTATTTTAAATCAATATTTTCATCTGTCGTCCTAAAATTAGAAGCAGTTTGTCATACTATCACCATCAATAATATGCGACAATTGTTGAAAATCAGATGCATGAAATATCAGATATCCCAATTTTTTAATTATAATACCCGGAGAGGTCATGTCATCATTGGAGGAAATCTCAAATCAAGAGTAAACGTTCCACGTCAGGTATCGGACGCACGGACCAGTCACACAAGAGTGACCACGTCACCCGTTTTTAGGGTTTTCGACACACTGTATTCTGTTTTGTTTAAGAAAAAAACAGTATTATTTTTGGGGTTTTTAAAACTCATAAAATAAAAACTCAGTTCCTAAAGAAGGTCAGGTTATCAGGGTTAAAAGTGGGGGCTTAAAATAGGCTTTAGGGCATTTCGATTTAGGACCTCAGTGGGACCCCAAAAGTTAAGACTCAGGGGCACTCGAGTAGGGCCCGGTCCATATTTAGACAAGCGCATCGTTTGACGCAGACAGAGGCCTGATGACTGCGAGAGCAGACATAAAAAAGACAAAATATTTACAACATTGATGACTTGAAGTCTTGAACTCATTGAAGAAGTCTAAAGTCTGAACTGTGAACTCGATGTTTTTTCCACTCTCCACTCGCCACTCCAGTATGTACATAGTCGACTGTATTTTGTTTTACCATATAAAATAGTAGAGGAAGTTAAAAAAAATATCATCCGCCTTCGCCCTTCTACAGCCATTGATGATTATTTAGAAGGCTATGCAGCGAGGGCCTGCATCGTTTAAAAAAAAGAAAAGAAAAACAAACAGCGGGGTAACTGCCTCAGTGCCTGCTCACTGCTGGCCGCTCTGTTCTGGGGCATTTGGGTTCTCTGGCCTCTGGCCCATGGGGCCCGGGGGAGATATAAATAAAGTAAAATTTCATAGCCTTCTTTTTGGGTATTGAAAAAAAAATCATTGAACCAAAAATTCTATACAGGAAGTATCGCCTTACTGAGGTACTATTTGTTTGTATTTATTTACACACTATTTTGACAAATTTTCTAATATTTACCGAGAGAGAGCGGAGTCGGAGAGTGCCAGAGTGGAGGACTGGAGGAGACTCAGGAGAGTCGGAAACTCGGAGACCCTATTTATAGAAAAAGTCTCTTCTCTCTTCTTGTTCTGACAAACTCACTCGTTGGTATTTATTGACAATATGATATTGGCCTGTTCTGGATGTTCTCAATTCTGGTGGACAGGTGGACAGGGGTGGAGTCTCTCTTTGAGACTCTGGACATTCTGGAATCTGGACCTAAAACCTATTTCCAGAGAAGACCGCAGTTTTCATTGTTCAACAAAAGAAAAGTATAAAATTCAATAATCCAAACATATGATTTGATATAAAACAATATTGCTCCATATAAAATACGTCGCATATTCGGATTTGTATTGGTGTGCAGTACTTTTTGGTATATACCAGGTACAAGATACAATCGGAGTTGTTACATGGTATAGTTCGCAACGGGGTTATTTTCTGTATGATGCGTTTCGGACATGTTTTTATTCCTCATTTTTGTAGCGATGTTTCTACCCTCAAAAAGACCGCCTCTCGATTTTTTTATATGAAATATTTCTGGGACTGAATTCACTGGGGGAAAGGAGTTATTCTTTTTGAACTCCCTGGAACTCCACATACAAAAGAGAAGCCGAAAAAGGTGTCCTTTTGTGGGTTGACAATTGACAGCGTTCGTGATCAGCTTTTCGATTGGTTGAGACCAAGCCCGACTGATATTGGCGGCCGTAAAAGGACTGTCACTGTGACTGTCATTCAGCCTGTCACGGACGCTCAGTGATTCTCTCTCGCGTTCAGATGAAAACAAAGGAATAAAATAAAATCTGGGTTTGTTGTCCGACAATACCTCGTAGCCAGAGGTCAAATACGTCGTCGATTGTGAATATTTTGTACGTATACACATATATTTAAGGCATGATATTCTCAACACAATAATCATTACCCAGTTTGTATAGCCAATTATCATCATGACGACTCAATACAAGGCTACCACGCATCACTACCTGTCCCTCGATGTGGCTGATAAGGGCGTGCAAGCTATGTACGTCTGGATCGACGGCACTGGGGAAATGGTTCGTTGCAAGACGCGCACTCTTAAGAAACTACCCAAGTCTGCCGATGAGCTTCCCATCTGGAACTACGATGGTTCATCCACAGGCCAGGCTGAGGGTGAGGACTCTGATGTACTCATGAAGCCTGTTGCTATCTACAAGGATCCCTTCCGTCGTGGAGATAACATCATCGTACTCACAGAGACCATCATGCCCGATGGCACTCCCCACCCCACCAACAACCGTAACCACGCTGCGGCTATCTTGGAGAAGTGCAAGGACTCGGAGCCTCAGTTCGGTATCGAGCAAGAATACACCCTCTTCGAGAGCGACGGTATTACCCCACTTGGCTGGCCCAAGGGTGGTTACCCCGGACCCCAGGGACCTTACTACTGTGGTGTAGGTACCGGAAAGGTATGGGGACGTGACATCGTCGAGGCTCACTACCGTGCCTGTCTGTACGCTGGTGTCAAGATTTGTGGCTCCAACGCCGAGGTTATGCCTGGCCAGTGGGAGTACCAGGTAGGTATCTGTGACGGTATCGAGGCCGGAGATGACCTTGTGATGTCGCGATTCATCATGCACCGTGTGTGTGAGGACTTCAATGTCATCTGCTCATTCGACCCCAAGCCCATCCCCGGAGACTGGAATGGTGCTGGTTGCCACACCAACTGCTCCACCAAGGAGATGCGTGCCGAGGGCGGTATGAAGGCTATCTTGGCCGCCATGCCCAAGCTTGAGGCTGTGCACGAGAAGTGCATTGCTGTTTACGGTAAGGGTAACGAGCGTCGTCTCACTGGAGCTCACGAGACTGCCTCTATGGATTCGTTCTCATACGGTGTAGCCCACCGTGGATCTTCCATCCGTATCCCCCGTCAGTGTGATATTGAAGGCAAGGGTTACTTCGAGGATCGCCGACCCGCTTCCAACATGGACCCATACTTGGTCACTGGTATCATTGCTGAGTACGCTTTCTGCCAGTAAGTGCAGCAGAAGAGAGGTTTAGGTCGTTTGACTAGGACATATGCCACTTGTCATGCAAGTTATACCATAGGATCGGATATAATATGAGAATCGTTAGGAAACTGAGAATAAATTACCTGTTGCATTGAAAACTCTTTACTTACAATCCTTTCATTACGTGTGTATAAACACGCTTTAAGCCAAAAGTACTTCTCCTTCATTGTACACTTGTTATATCAGCAACATCCCCCCGGGAAGGGGGTGACACCGATTTCGCTTCCTATCGTGCAATTCCAGTCGTACCTGCTTCTGCTTGAAACCCTCCTAGACGGTGCAGGTCGATTCCGGAATCCTGAGCTTACCGTCAGTGTTGTGTGTACATCTTCCTGATGGGCATCTCATTGCAGGTATGTCGCATTGAATCTGAAGCGACTGTAACTTTCACTGTCCCTGTGGCTGTTAATGTTTTTCAAACTACCACTTCGCTTGTGTCACAGTCATTGATTGCAGTATAGGTTACTGTATGTATTTATTCCTTTCTTCCGTTTGTTTATTCAGAGACATCATCTATATAATATGTGTCTAACCCACTTACTGTGTAACATACATGATAGTACTATATATATGTGTATACAGATACATATGGAAGAATATACTTCTGAATGCCTGGATGCACGCAGATACGTATGAATAAATGTACTTGTGAATGCATGTATGCATGCGGGTAAGGATGGCAGAGTGTACATATAAATGCCTGTATATATGCAGCTACGTATGATTCAATGCACTTAAAATACTTGTATGTATGCAGATACGTATGAATGAATGTACTTAATGTATGCATGCATTTATGAATGTATCTGTAAGAGTATATATGAATAGATATATGTATAAATGTTGTATATATGAATATATATATATATATATATATGTATGTAAGAGATGTATATATATTCATGTATAATAAATACATTTAAATGCATTATATGATCACACACACACACACACACACATATATATATATATT